AGAAGGAGCGGGGCCGCCAGAGGGCGGCACTGCGCAGCCGCGGCACGGGGCCGCACTGCGCCGGCGCGGCCGCCGGAGGGCAGCAGGTGCCTGTGCTCCGCCGCGCGGGCAGCCAGGGAGCGGGACTTCCTGCTCAAATGACTGGTGAGCGGTGCCCACTGATGCAGTGTTTCCCCACCTGTCCAGTTATCACCTGGGGCACTTATTGGTACTCCAGATCCGTGAGTCGGCTTACTAGCAGGCGGCCCGAGGTGATTCTGTTGCGCTTTGGAAGCTGCACCCTAGGGACTCCGGAGGGCTTGGGCTGGCCAGAAGCAGAAGGGACTGGGGCTTTCACGCCGAATATGATTTAGGAGCTAGCCTACCTACGCTCAAATTTCAGTATCACTGGACGGTTGGGGAGCAATTTACTTGTCTCTCCGGCCCTTCACTTTTGCATCGGAGACATGTGGGCAGAATTAGCACTTAGCTCCTAAAATTGGCCCACAGGACACACTTTAATGTTCTATGAACGTCAGCTAACACTGGTTAAGTGTACAAGGGAGCTATGATGGGTGAATGGGTCCCAACCCTCCACTTTTCATCTCCAGTGGAAAATGAAGTTTGCACCACGACCAGAGAGACCTTAATCCTAAAGATTTACTATCATTCATTTCCTAAGCGTTGCTAAGAAACTAGAGGATGTGAGGATCCAAGTCTTGGAGGGCAGGAAGGATTCACAGGACTTGCTTACACTACATGTTAACTTTATAGCTTACTCAGTTCAGCAGCGTATCCTTGTGTATATTAAAATGGCAGGCGACTGTACACTAAAGGCTTAGATATTGACTTGTTCAGCAGAGCCAAGATGTTTGCAAGTCACCCATGGGCCACTGAAATCATTTTCATAATTTCCTCCACTGCTATCAACTATTAATGCTATACTGGTTCTTCTTGTAATTTAGTTTCCCTTCAGCTTTTGAGGGGTTATAGGACACAAAAGGAGTCCCGGTGACTTAATGGGCCACATTTTTGGTCTGCCAACTACAAGTTCAGCAGTTCAGACCCAACAACCGCTTCACAATGAGGCTGCCTGCTCCCATAAACCTTTAGTCTCAGAACCCAGAGGAGCAGTTCTACTCTGTCCTGTAAGGTGGATAGGTCAGATTGACTCAGTGGCAGTGGGTGGGATGGTGGTGCAGGAGTTAAGTGGTTGGTTGCTAGCGAGAAAGTCGGCAGTTTGAACCCACCAGCCACTCTGCAGGAAAAAGATGTGGAAGACTCTTTTGTAAAGATTCAGCCTCAGAAGCCCTATAGGGCAGTTCTACTCTTACATTCTACCTTTGAAAATACAATAGAACAGTTCTACATGATTGACATGGGGTCCCAAGAGTCAGAGACTGCTTGGTGTTGACACACACACAAACCATCTAGCAATGGCTTCTAAGTCACAGCATTTCTAAGTTAAAGGTCTCACTCTGGCAGGTCGACTAGGCCCAGGTAGGTCCTTCATAGTTCAAAACCTTCTGCCTCAACAAACACACTAAAACATGCAGAGTTGCCAGCAATTCAATGAATATCCATTCTCACATCTTATGGCAACACTGAATATTTGCCCCCACATGCTCCCATAGGATACACATAATTTCTTTGAGTGGTTTTGGTTGAAGTTTGGACTGTAATGGCAATTTCTTTACCTGGATGTTTTAATATGCAAGATTACTACTGCATTAAATTTGCCTACTAGCCACCCTTGCTCATTGCCTCGCTTGGCCTATCACTGTACACCCTGAGGGACTGGCTTCCCTTAGTGGGGCGTAGCATGACCCTGGGGTTAAGGACCACCCCAAGTCTTCAGAGGTAGAGTCTAGAATGAACATTGTGAATAAGCATCTGAAGTGAATTTCTGCATCAAGTGTGTGAAGTGCTGCACCGATAGGGCCATGTCCTGGATGGACAAAAGAGAAGAATCACACACACAGAAAGACAAATCCAGTCAGGAAATTGAAACCTTTATTCCACACACACCCGCTCCCCCTCCGAGTTAGCAGTTCCCCTGAGAACTGGGGCACAGGGAGGGAGAATGGCAATGACAGATGGGTGTCAGTTAATGAGGCCAGGCGTCACCCTTCCTAAAGGACTTTCTTTTTGGCTGAACATTTTGCAGCATGAGACCAGGCACTGGGATGTGGGCTGTTTCTCAATTAATTCTTAATAGCACCAACTGATTTTCTCCCTCTGAAATGAGGGCAAGAGGAAATGAGAGTTCTCTCACCACCTATTCCAGCCACTGCCTCCTCCCTTCAGGGGTCAACAGCAGGGCAGCAGGCAGTTCCTACCCGGTCTCCCTGGTGCTCTCCAGCTACCTCCA